ACAAACAGGGTAGGGCAAGGACTTGTACCTAAAATGAAGCTATCTATAGCTCGTGAGAGGCTAGAGCTGGTAAAATTTGAGAGAGCCAGTAGTTATAGTTCTTCTACACCAGCTTTACGGACAAGTTTGGAAGTGATGAGTGACCTGTGAATTGCTGAGATCTGCCATTACTGAGTTGCTCTGCTTCAATTTTGGACAAATTAGCAAAGGATTCGTAGTTCATGTTTGCCATCGACGTTAGTCTTCAGCTCTGATACCATGAAAGATCTTGTTGATAAAATTGTAACTGAACAAAAACTTGCGAAAAAATATGTTCTAAAAAGTGTGACTGGTTTTTCTGTATTGAAGAAGACAAAGTACCAACTCTTTTATAGTTGGTGAAGACTGTAATCAAACGCAGCGTTTTGGTTAGACAGACACTAAAACGCTGCGTTTGATTTACCTTGAATCATTACAAAATAAACCCTCATTTCTTTACATCCTTGCAAAATAATCCTACATCCTATCTAATATGATGTGAAGCAAGGCAAGAAAGAATTCCTATCAGAAGTTGAGACAATAGGCAACATTCACCGTTTTAATCTGGTAAGACTTGTTAGTTATTGTGCTCAAAGATCAAATAGACTTTTGGACTATGAGTACATGTGTAATGGTTCATTAGATAAATGGATTTTCCACCGAAACCACACACAAACTCTCACTTGGGAAACAAGAAAGAAAATCATAGTTCAAATAGCAAAGGGACTAGAGTATTTGCTTGACTATTGCAATCCAAACATCATTCACTTTGACATCAAACCTCAAAACATCCTCCAAAACACAGATTTGAATGTCAAGATTTCTGATTTTGGGTTAGCTAGATTGACTGACAAGGATCACCACCCATGTGATAACTATGCCAAAGGGAACGCCGGGATACATGGCTCCTGAGTTGATTGGGGGCAGAAATATCACAGCGAAGATTGATATTTACAGCTTTGGAGTTGTAATGTTGGAAATCATTTGTGGAAGAAAAAGTTCTAACTCCTGGCACGGTGAATATCTAATTGATACTGTGAAGATCAAGGCAGAAGAGGATCAACTTTCTGATTTAATCGATGAACAAAGTGAGGACATGCAAAAGAACAAAGAAACGCTGTAGAAATGGTACGGATTGCCATTTCATGCTTGCAAAGAAACTTGCATAAAAGGCCTTCTGCATCCATGTTGGTGAAGGTTTTCGATGGTTTAATGGACTTGGAACCTGTGGCAGAATATAGCTTCCTGAATTCTATCCATGAAGAAACACCACAAGAGATCATCCCTGTTGCTTCATCAACAATCATACCATCAGTTTTATCAGGACCTATATGACCCATATTTATCCGTATTTTTGTAACAAGTTGATTATTATGCAATCAAAATAACATTGCAACTATTCTTGTCTGAAATAGAACTTATTTCCTTATTTTTATTTGGATTGGATATTATTGAATTAGTATCTGTTAAATATCTTTTTGTTAGGACACAAAAAAAAAAATAATAATAAAAAAAAATAAAAAAATAAAAAAAAAATAACAATATTCATTGCATCACCAATTCACCATCTATTCTAACTCTAGTAGTTCTAAGTGTCAAGTATATTAATCTTGGCACTATTCGCTAACAATTACTTAATCCCTTTACCATTTCTAATTTCTAAGTTTGCACAAATGCCAAGCACAGGCAAAGAAAGATCATGACTGAAATACTTTTTAGTTTGCAGGCCGGCAACCCCACAAACAAATGTCAGAAGTATGGAAATATGCAACAAAAAAAATAGAAAAATGACAATCAGAAATTGAAGAATCTAAGAAAACAGGATAAAAATAAAGAAATAATGCAAAGTTATGTCAATGTCTTATTCATGACTTTCAGTAAAGACAAGGTTATGGCTAATGTGATTTGGATTATAAGCTTTGTGCGTATTACTCTTCTATAGCCTCATTTAATAAACTCCACTTTCATGAACTTAGTCAGCCAAGCTATCAGCTTCAGGGGAAAGAAAAACTGCAATACTATCAAAGGAACTCAGTGTCTCTTACCGACAATTGCATGCATTATGAAGATTATGTTCTATAAATTTTGTCAATGAAGAAAGCATGGTAATGTGAAAATATTCAAACTAAATTTCCTGTCAAGCTATATGTTTTTATAACAAACCCTTCAGATGTCAAGGAATAGTTTCGTAACCGAAGAAACAAAAAATGCAGGCAATTCTTAACAAATTAAAGAGCAAAACCCAGGACCAAGTCTCCTTAATGTCTCTAGTTCCATTGCATCAGCTGTGATAATCTGAGAGTTGAATAATAAAGCAACTTCAAAAATAAATGGCCAATTCCCTTATAGCCTCTCTTAATATATATATATATATATATATATAAAGAGCTCCAATAACAGCAGGGTGCAGACTTTCCACTAGTAGCAATTCCCGCATACTGAACTATTTTTGTCCATGGCAAGCTGAAGGAAACAATACGTCAGTCAAATATCGCACTTATACATTTATAATTTTTCAATATATTTCATTTCAGATTCCTCTTGGTTAAGTGTATCTATTCATCAAAACAGCTTATTTTTAAAGTTATAAGCACTTTCGAAATCTTTATATTTGATTGCATTTCTAATAAAATTTTAAATAAGTTGTGGAAATTTGAGCTTCTTCATATATATTTTTTTTAACTTTTTTAAACTGTCAAAATTTCAAAAATATTTCTATTTTATATTATAAATTTGACTTGATCTATTCCGCTATATCAATGTCCTTTGTGGTAAATTAATATTAGAAAACACTTTTACATTTTCCAAATCAAACCAACTAACATATTTTTCACAAAAAATTCTACCATTGTAAACTGTACTCTAATAAATTCTTCTTCCAATCGATCGACCGGATTGTGAGCATGTCATTCTGTTTGAGACACCATGTTGGGGTGATACTCGTAAACGATCTATAAAGTTGCCATGATAAACAATACTCGAAGAAGTCGTATCAAATAGATTGTGGATAACGTATTCTAGGTTACCTACGCTGATGTAGTGAGACACTCAAATAACATAATCGCATGTGTTGTCACATATACGCCAACTTTTATTTTTCATTCACTGATTACCATAATTAATCCATCACTACTATATATCATATACAATAATCAACTTCATTCACTGGTTGGCCCAGTAGTGAACCAAAGCCCAATAAACAAGGCCCATAACTTGACACATCTCATAAACCAAATATTTTGAAGATGTAATCAGATAACAGATTTGATGTGAAATATAACAAAATGTCAAAAATCCCATTTCTTTAACAATGATGTAAACCTAACCCCCTGTCCAGATGTCCACTCTAGAAATATATACAAGGCTTTCTAATATTTATTTAATTCTCCCAGTTAGCTGAAGAAAATGAAACTCATTTATGTAGCTATCAAACTCCTACATATATGGTTTATATTAACTTCATTTTGAAGATAAATTGGACCACAGCAATTAGTTTTTGAAAAGCATATGGTTTATTGATCTTTATATATATATATATATCTTTCTGTGCCATGTTATATGTTTCAAATTCTGAATTATAATTTCATATTTATAAATGTGTAGTCATGGGTTCGTTATATTATGGATGTAATATAAGGGTGTATAACATTTTCCCACCCTAACTTTATTGAACGTTTGCCACCCATGGTTTGGGAAACTAACAACATTCCACCCATCATTAATCTCCATTTATTAAAATTCAAGGCTGACCCGCTTTAACCATGAAAAATTGAAAATACGCATTTTATCCTTATTACTATAAATTAACCCCAAGGAGTTAGCTTGACAGTCAAGAAGGTTTGCTCTCCTTCATTGACTTTCTAGGTTCGAATCATCTTGGAGTCATCTACCACATTTATGGTTTACCTTGGAACATTAGACTTGTAAGATGTTCAATAGACCTTGGAGATTAGTTGAGGTGTATGCAAACTGACCCAAACACTCCGATCTTCAAGAAAAAAGAAAGGTATAAATTATCGGTGGAGGATGTCGGATCATGGCTAAGCAAAATCTTGCATTAGCAATTGTGGCTTGGTCATCAATCATGGCGTATCCGTGACTGATCTAAAGGCGGCTAGGCTCTGCCATGTTGTCGTCGACCAATAGCCTTACAACGTGTTGCTAGACTTTTTTTTTTTTTTTTTTTACTAATTCTCTTTGTATTTTTTATTTTTTATTTTGTGGTATATAAGACCTACAAGAATAAGATTCGGGTATGGTTTAAGATTAGTTTAACAATATATTGTTATAAAGGATGAAAATATAGGAGGGACTTTGTTAGTTTCCCAAACCAGAAGTCACAGATGCTAATTCAACAAAATAAGGGTGGGAAAATGTTATTCACTCATAATATAACTATAAACCTATTGAAAGACCCTTTGATTTCAATAGGAAGAAGTGTCCAAAGATGTTAATGTATTGGCATCACATCACATGCCTCTGCATGACCGACCACATTAAAGAAAGTTGGTGCATATTTGGGGCCCAAATTGCTTTAATAATATTTCTGCACCACACCAACAAAACGTCCTGCATTTCAATACACGTTTATGTTTATCATTTCTTCCATCTCTCTCAAATGTCTCCTCCCCAAATCCACCAAAAGACAGCAGTAGGGGCCAAAAATTACAAAACAGTAAACAAAGAAATTAAAGTTTAATAAGAAGATACAGTTAAACCCTAAACAAACTCTGTTCATTATCATATTTTGTAGATTCTATCTATTTTAAAGAAATCGATTTACAAATCCATAATTTGATCTTTATAGAAAGGGATATATCGAATAGATCTTGCCCAGAAATCCCCAAAAAAAAGGAAGAAATAGAGGCAAAGACTAAAGAGGCCCCTTCCTGGCCACATACATAGCAAAGCATCCAAAGCATATAATATTACAAGAATTATAATACATAATATAATTGAACTTCCCACCTAGAATATATATATGTAAAATAAATCAATATCTACATTAAAAACATCAATACAATTATAAAGTAATGATGTAAAACAGCTAACATCCCACTGTCATTGGCCTAATATCAACAAAATTTGGCAGGAAGTTCTCTTACATGATAAAACTAAAATGATTCATTCAGTCTACGCGGTTTCTTTTCTCAAAGGCCACATAAACAAAGGGACAAAATCCCAGGTAACCAAGTCTTAAGAGTGCCCACATCACACTTATCAACCAGGCAACCCCATTTGTCTGATCATTAATTTATGTAAACAAATATCAAAACTATGGGGAAAATCTTGGATGCGAACGGATGCAATGTATCCAATCAATAAGGGAGCGATTCCATGTCATTCGTGCTGACGTGGTGCCCTCTCATTCGACGGATACACATGTAGATTGTTCACAACCAAGATTTCTCCCATGAGTATGGCCTTCCAGTCAATCAATGTTTTAGGCTGTGGGTCCAATGGGTGATTAGTGGTTGGGATTAGTTTGAAACTGGGATAGATAAACCTGGCACTGTAGAACAGTTTTACCAATCCTGAAGCCTGGAACAACTGTGAAAGCCACTCGAGTGTCAGATTCTTGTGTTTTGTCTGATGGAAGGAAGGCTTCATCATCTAAGCTTTCCATGTAGACTTCTGAGAATCGAGTCCCTTTGTTTACTTGAAAGATTGCGGCCTCTGGCTGGAATGAAAAGGCTAAGCAATGTAGGAGCCAAACCCGTTTTGCCATTTCTGCAAATGAGGCAAAGAATCCAGTGTCTGGAAATTCACCAGAATTCACAAGGTTCCTGTGGTTAAGATTGCCAAAAAATGATGATTCCATCTTTGGGTGAATCACTTGCAAGTACTTGACCCGGCAAAATTTCGCAAACGATGATTTAGGCTTCCTTGAAAGGTAATCCTTTGCTTTCACAGATTTTAGTTCTGTGAATCTCTCAAAGAACAGCTGTTGCTTTTTTTTCTTTCTCTCTGGCAAAGACTCGTTTGCTGGGGAGTAATTGGGGTAATGAAAAGCGTTGAACAATTCCCTGCAAACAAAGGATTCAAATGCAAAACATTTGTGATCAGCTTTATAATACACCACATTTGGTTGGATTGAATTGGCTGCTGCGTCAATATCCCAACCGGCAGTTTTCATCTCATCAATCATCAACCGGACAAAGCCTCGGATAGATTTCACAGCATGCCGAAGAACTGTAATGAAATGACTAGGACTCAACCCTGAGAAGTGAAGATTATCAAGCATAGATAACTGACCACTTTGATTTAATCTCTTCTCTATTAACTTGTTTTGTTTATTGTTTTCCTCTAACTTCTCTTTAAGAAATATGATTTCAGAGTCCTTGAGCCTCAGCTGAAATTCTAACTTCTTTCCCATGATTTCATAAGTCTTTAAAAGACTTTTCAACTCCTGAATTTCAGCAGAAACCAAAGTTTTCTCTGGTGAAAAATCGAACTGTTTCTTAAAGTAACACTGCTTCAATTCAGACAAATTCTTCAACTCCTTAACTACCGAATAATCAGCAGATTGAATACACTCGGCATCATAAGGAGACTGAGCGTATTGTAATTGACTATACGCAGCTTTAACAGAAGAAATGGTCGCAAAAATCTTTGCAAGAAGAGCTTCCATGGCCACTTTGTATTCATCATCTTTATCATCCTTGTCAAATAACTGAGACCAACTACCTTTACTCTTAACAGGCTTCTGACCATCTTTGATCACCTTCTCCTGAGGCTTAACTTTCTGAACTCCATCAACCGGAGCAACCCCAGATACAGCTCGAATATGAAGAACTTTAGCAAACGTACGTGCCAATTTACTCTTGGCTGGAGTCATAGCTGAAGGTTTCACTGATTCCATCTGCAAAAGAAACTACAGATTATGATGCTATTGAAAATTCTAAGTGATCCCAAATTAAAAAAGCTAAAAAAGAAGACAATAAAGATATGGGGTTATGATGATGATGATGAGCGTGTTGAAGGAATGAAAGATAAAAGCTAGCAAACAATATGCTTTAACACTTAGACCGAGGCCATGGACATTAAAGCACCATTAGAATATCTTTTCGTTTTGGGTTCCTCTCAAACTTTTTAGAGTCTACAACTTGCTTTCTCTCAATGACTAAAAAGAGTCGAGCTTTAACGCGGCAAAGAGGGAAAAAAATGAACAGAAGAAGAATAACAGCATCCAAATCAATAAGCAGAAGCTAGCTGGAGCCTGCAAAGATTATTACAAGAAAAAGCTTAGTTAATGCTTCTGCATAATTCGAGGCAAGTACAAATTGGAGTTAGATATTCTATTTATGTGACAAGAATCAAGTGGGGAGAAAAGTATTTGGGGAAATTAACAATTCGTGAAACTAATGTATTTTAAGTCTTGGACTATTCTTTCTTTCATATTTGTTTGTGTTTTATTATCATTTTTGGGTCAAAATATTCCTACCATTCAATATTTCAATTCTATGGCCAACTTTTCTTAATAGAAATTAAATGGAATTTTACCTGCAAGGAGAGACATGGAATTATATAATATTCAAGCTAATTTGTCACATTTAGCTAACCAACAGAAAGCACATGTATCAAATAAGGTTATAATATAAATATAGATTTTCTTATTCTTTATATATATTATGCATAGCATCTGAGTTTTAAGTTATAGGTCTCTTTTATCATTGGATCATCCATTCTCATTAATTTCTAACTTTTTTCAGTATAGAGAGGGGCTGGTACAATTATGGGTTCATTTGAATTCACACAAAGTCATTTTGCTGACAGTAAAGGGTCCATTTGTTCCATTATTAACAGTGAATGCACGATGGTAAAAGCAGAAAATTCACACACAATATTATTAAAGCATCTGGGCAGAAACTCTTATCAACCCATCCGGTGTCATAAAGCATCCAAGAAAAACATCCAAATCCAAAAGAATAAAAGCCTCTTCCCTAGCTAACAAGTAGAATCTACAAAAGGAGAATGGCATAATAATAGTATTTTAGAACAACAACCCAGTAATCAATAACCATAAATGACCCGAGTAAGATTACAATTTAATGTTACCAAACTGATACTATAGCATTAACCAGAACAAAATAAGAAACTTTGAATCTGGGTCAGAGTACAGTGAATATATGATTTGATCATTTACTACATATTAAATTCATAGCAAAATCACGTGGCTCCAATGAGTACTCCACAGAGTGGGATAGATTTTCTTTTTCCAGACGACTCGAGGCCATTATAAACTTGTCCTTTTCTTCAAAGCATTCATTCAAAACCCATCTTGGGAGACTACAAATTACATATATCCGTTGGATGTCTAAGACTTCTGAAATTAAATTTTTAGAGATGCGAGCCTTTTTGATTTTTAATTACATTATTGATATCAACGGGCAGAAACCTCAGCCTTTATGTTCTTCCAAAAAAGATGAATATTACATTAAGTTACTTTACTCTTATTATTTCCTTTTACAAATACTATTAAAATAACTAATATTTTACTAATTATATTAATCTAATTGCTAGGAAGATGTTACCCAAAAAAAATCATAATAACAGTATAACACTACCCCTCTTTCCCCGCCATTAGATTGCCTAATTTTAGCCAATCCAATGGCTGAAAAGGTGGTGTAACATTACCCCATTGTACCATTCTAAACGAGTTCTAAGTTATTAATCAGATAATATTACTGCTTACAAAATCACCTTAAAAAAACAATAGAGATTCAAACAAATTCACATTTAAATACAAATTTTAGAGTTTGAGAATTTTACCATACCTTTGAATAACGAACGGAGGAGGTTTGCAAAAGGTCTCTCTAGTCAAGTTTTAAACTTTTCAACACTCCATATTTAACGTAAATCTCAAGAAAACGCAAGGACTAAAACCCCACAACGAACGACAGACAACTCAGTAGCAACTTCTATTTCTCTTCTCCACTACCTGCAAATCAAATCAAAACGAAATCAAAACCAAAAAAACATCAAAAACAATACCAAACTCATATCACAAAGATTAAACACCAGAAACAACAAAGAAACTGAAAAAAAAAAAAAAAATAAGATTCAGAATTACGAACTTCATAAGACTCAGAAACTCTCGCCGAATCCTTAACTAAAACCCTTGACAACATAAATACATGAAAAATGATTATATATGATTCAGTTTCTAAGTCTTTAGCAACTTGACAAACGACCACGAACCTTCCTTATTTAAAAAACAGTTCATAAATGAAACAAAAACAAAAAAAAGCTCAATAATGGAAAGATAATAATAAGAACGAAGATTCAGCTGAGAAATAAATTAAAAACTAAAACTATATCAGGAAGTTCCCGTAACTTACCTTACACAGAACCTTCACCTTCCTTTAATTACCTCGAAAAAAAAAAAGGAAGAATGAAGAAGATTTTCAATTTTTAATTTCCGATCAAATTTGGTGCGAAAGCTGAGACTGCTGAAATGAAATGGTTTTTGAATTTTTTTATTTTTTTTTTTAATTTGGAAGAGGAAATGGAAATAATAAATTAAAAGGGAAACAAGGACATGGGGAAGACAGAAGTGAAATGACAATGCAGGACAGGATTTGTAAATGAGAGCATCGGGACTTCAAACATAAATATTTATGTTGGGTCGTTTTCGGTGTAAGTTCTTATTCCGCTGACGCCCTTGATTTTGAAAGATTTTACATGTCCGTTGTCAGATGGAGGAGTTGTACGAGAGGAGGCGGGAAAGGGTAGTTTGGGTAGGCGTGATGAAATCTGAGGTTTGGGTAAGTGTATTGGCAGATCGTATGTGAGACAATGGGCGGTTGAGATTTGTCAGAAAAGAGATAGAGTGTGTGAAAGCTGAGAGATGAGAAATGTAACTGTCGGACACGTGAGTAGAAGTGGGCCCACTATCCGCTGATTCTTCGGGGACTGAGACGTCCAGCTGCCATCTTCTGGTTCACGCTTCACAGTTGTTCTGATTTTTTTATTTTTAGTTCTGTAAGAATCTTTAATATCAAATATTGAATTTATTTTATTTTCATTTTAATTAAAAGCGCTTTTAACATAAATTTTTTTTACACATTTTTAAGTCACTAATTAAAGAAATATTTACCCTAATTTAAACAAAAATCACTTAAATTTAGGACTTATTTGATACAAGATTTTAATAATTTTTTGGTTTTCAAAAACAACAAATACAAAAATAAAATTTATATATTGAAAACAACATTTTTAATACAATTCTAAAAAATAATGTGAATCATTAGAACGACTTTTTTTTTTTTTTATAGTTCTTAAATGAACAAATTTCAAAGTGTTTAATATAATTCAGAATTTTTTAATTCTACATTTTGTGCTTTTGAGTTTGTTTTTTTTTTTTTATATATATTTAGGGTCAATGCCTTTCACATCACGAGGTTTGATAAAGTAATAAAAATAGTCTTAGTAAATCGTTATTTATTATTATTTTTTTTTTAAATAGAGTGTTCAAACTAATTTGTGTATACTTTGATTAATCCCCATAAATGACAAGCACAACATCTCACCATCATAATCAACTGCTTAAATCTTAGGAGTAGTAAACAATCAATGAGTTGTTAAGAATTATAATATTGCGGTTTAATGTATATTATCTAACTATTTTTCTATATTTATTTTAACATTTAAAACTTAACAGTAATGATAATTTGTTATTTCAAAAACCTCTGAAAGAATCTTGTTATTTAATCAAACTTCAAGAGAATTATTATTATTAACTTTATGTTTCCGATAATCTTTGCGTTAATGTCTCTAATACAATTTCACTTATGGTTATAAATATTTGTATAATAAATAAAGAGTACGTTTATTATTAATCATGAATTTAAACTTTATGAAAGTAAAAAAAAAAAAAAAAAAAAGTGAATAATTGTCTTGAGAAACCGAAAAAGAAGACAAAGCCATGAATATTGGAAGATATGATTGAAATGGGTTAATCAAGAAACATGATAACATGTTCCAAATTTCTAATAGATTTTATGTCTTAATCATACTTTTAAAATGTTAAGTGGTGTTTAATTAAGATTAAGACATAATATAAATAAATCTCCCTCAAAATCTAATTTTTATATGTGTAATTAAGATTGTGTTTTTAAATTCAGAAAGAAACAAAGCACCTTTCAATTCAATCGGGGGCCCTAGAAATTTAATCAAAAATTCAACCCAAATTTCAAATAATTCCATTTAAGGATCTATCTAAAAATATTTGATGTTAGTATATACATATATGTTAATTATTTTATAATCTTTCAATTCAATGAGGGCCCTAGAAATTTAAGCCAAATATGTTTATTTACAAAATTTTAGCTAAAGACAAATTAAATCACTTTAGGGTGTATCTAATTTTTTTTTTCTTTATAAAATATATTTACTTAATTTTCATAAGCGAAATATGTTATTAATTTATTGTCATTTTCTCTCACACTCAATCAAAATCCCAGGATATTGAAATAATCCATTGAAAATGACATGAAAACCAATGAAAGAAATACAAGATCTAGATTTAGGCAAGTCTTTGTCCCTAATGTTTAAATTTTATTTTTCTAATTTGATAATATAAAGTATTAATATGTTTTATGGGAATATTTGATTAAGCAAGATATGCCTCCTAAGTCAAAGATATACAGCATAAAGTTTCCAATTTAGTGGCTTTGAATATTCTTCTGGCTTGCTTGGCATATTTTAATTAGTCATAAAAAAGAAAGAAAAAATGGAAAAGTATAAATTCACCAACTAAAATATTTGAATATTAACAAGTATTTATATTACTTAATATAAGATAATAAATAGAAATCTAAGTTCTCCAATTTATAAAATGAATAATGCTGATGATTTAAATAATACTAGTTGAATATCAATTAGAAGATGAGAAAAGGATGTTTATATATATATATATATATATGATGAAGAAGGTTTATCTACCATTAAGTTGATTGGTGTTTTGTCTAATGTTATAAAGATGTAGCATGGAAAGAAAGCCTCACAATTCACGCCTTGTTCCCCCTCAGCTCATTAAATAATATTTTCAAAGATAGAATACATTCTATATGTATATACTTTTTTTTTTTTTTTTCATTGGGGGTTGGTGGTGTTTGAGTCAGTTTTCGCACACCTCAATTAATCTCTTAGGACCTTGATATTATCGACTAGATAAGAATCATAATCGATTACCTCTATTAAGGTCTAAGGTGACTGAAACTCATGAATTCATAGAACTCTTTTTGTTTTTTTACCATTTAGTCACCTAATAATGGTTAAACATTCTAAATATTTCTCATATTTGTCACCTCTTATATGGATTTGTGTATTCAATCAAAACTCACAAAATAATCTGAAAACAGAAAAGTTACTAATCATGAGCGACTCCAACATTTTACAGTTTTTTTTTTTTTAATTGTAAAATACTTTAGGATTATCAGCCATCTCCACTTGGGTTTAAGAAAAAGACAGTGATACAGCTACACATGAGAAACAAATATAATGTCAGCATTACGGATTGGATGCTTGCCAGCTACTTGAAAACAAAAACTAAAGTATAAAATGATGTTGTTTACATGTCGTTATAAACGTAAAACCCAACTCATGTTTATTCAATATAAAATATTACATAAGTTTATGTTGTTAAATGGGGAAGAGTTTGGGTGTCTTACCAACACCATAAGACTCTCCACCAATTGACCTTTCGTTTCCTTAGATTAATTTGCCCGAATTCTGTTACATGTTACTTAAATATATATTGAAGAGCATTATAAGAACAATAGGAAGAAATTGCTGATAAATTCATAAAAACTCGATACTTATTAAGACAACAATCTAAACAAATAGTATTTAACTCCTGAATGGTCGAGTGATTTAATAAAGACTTTTGAATGTATTACTCAAAAGGTTCTGAGTTCAAGACCTTTATCGGTTGCAAATATGGGTGCCACTAGAGTTATTACTCGACCAATAGTTTTAAGATTTCGAAGGATTAACTGAGATGCGTATAAACTGACCTAAACATTAACAGTCATTAAAAATTGTGAACAAACAGTGTATATCTTTCAACTCATTATCAAAAGTGCATAAATCCGACAATATCACCAGTGTTTTGTTAAAGATAACTGGATATTCTAATTAGATTTGAGTCAGTTTTTGCCATATTCTTAATCTTTTTTGTCTTATAAAGACTTTTAGAGATCTTTAAGTCAACTTGATCACAATCCCTGCTCCTGAAAAGGCTATCCGACCATGTTAGCTATCTGAGAAGATGAAGATGAAGGCAGAGAATTTGGAAAGCAAAATGTGATACATGTATGAGGTGAATAATTTACTAAACACTGCATAAGCATTGTTGGGATATAATGAGGTCAACTCTGTAAGCAACTTTTCAGTGTCTTTTAAGGCCATTTGTTGAAGTTGAAGACAACATGGCCTCTGCCTCCTCAACTATTAAAATAAACTTCCAACTGTGAATCAATTACCAGCTTTTTCTTTCTTTCAACGGCAAGCTGTGTTGTGTGCTGTGCCCACGAATGTCCCATCAATACCAGGGCATCCTATGGTATGAAGTATGAAATATTATCAACTCTGCCATGCCTTTTCATATCCCTTTCTTACAAATTCTCTAAATTCTAAATTATAAACCACATCAACAGTCTATAATTACAATATCTTGTCATATTAGACGACTTTAAAGGAATTGAAACCACATAAGGCTCTTGATTCAAACCAAAGGTCGCACTTTCACTCATAATCATAAATAATTTCAATGAATAGAACTTGGATCCGCTTTGTTTTGCTTTGCTGGATCATGAGCCAGAAACCAGAAATTGACCTAAATGCATTATCAATCCATGGTGTCTTAAATAAAATATAACACGACCTGGCAGCAAGTTGATTTCTTTTCATTCAATGTCAGGTTGGCTTTGCATTATTTCACACCAACTTATTCGAATCATCATCGGTACAAAGAGTGAAGATTTTCAAGTCTGCTAAGATGCCTAAACTAGAGGAGATCAGGATGGTTAAAGGTTTGAAAGTTGATAAACAAACGGAAGTAAAAACTCTGATCTGTTTCCTTGAATGTTGTTTGCGAATTTCACCAGTATTGTTCTAAAGATGAAAGATTCCCAGGATCTAAGAGTTACACTCTAGTAGATCCAATGATACAGAATGAAGGAAGAGTCAGAAGGAAAAAACAAAAACAAGCATTACATTTTCAGGTGATGCATGCAGATTTGTAATTCCTCGTCAACTACGCTAAAATTCTATCTTGAACCTTTGGTGTTAAGAAGGGCCTACATACATCTCTTTAGCTCTCCAAAAATTGCTGGGGAGCTCGTGGGCACCACCTACTGTTGCTCATAACACATCGTAACCTTAAAATCCAAAGAAGCCGAGCTCGCTGGCTCTTTCCTTCTCGAATGTCTCAAAATACTGATAAATGATGGTGACTGCAAGTAGAATCCCAGTCCCTGAACCGATAGCCCCCATGAAATCTGCCAACACGGTCAGTGCTCCAATACACATGCCGCCAAATGCTGCAGCTGTGGGGATGTAGCGATTCAGCTCTTTCTGTAAGTTTGCCTCCCTATGTCCAGGCATAACCATTTGTTGTTCCTGAAGAAAAATGCGGAGAAAAGTTTAGCATATAAGATGTGCCTCATTATTGACACATAATCTATACACACAATATCAACAGCAACCTCATATATTAAGCTAAGTAGTCATGATAACTGAACAGACTGGCACCAAACTGATACATAATTCCCTCGTTATACTAAACAGGAAATGCGTGTAAAACTGAATGTTTCCATAATCAACGAGTTCACATCAAAATTGGAAAATTATTTTTCTTTAAGCACTACATTAGTGGATATAATTGTTCAAGCTAAAGTAGGGCTTCATCCACTGGAGCGGAGGCAGGGCCACAGAAATTAGTTCGAAGAGTTTTACTCAATTTTAATTACATTTTACAAATGATTTTCAACTGCATTTAGATATCTAAGGCATGATTAGGTTCTTTCAAATAAATGGGATGGAAATTAGGTCCATGGGGGGGAAATCTTCAGTTTCTTTTGGTTCAGCAGATCACTTAAACTTGAGTGAAGAAACAGAATTTAAACAGCAGAAGAGTGACCAATGGAGATGCAAGAAAAAACACGATCCATGAGACTTTCAGAAGATTACATAAAAATGTAAACAATAAGAGACATTACCTTAAGTTGCTTGGCAACATCTCTAGCAGATGATCCTGAAACTTCAATCCAAGTTTTTGAAAATAGTGCACATGCTGACAACATAAACACAAGATAGAACAACGCATGGAAAGGATTGGCTGCCATATCAGCTAAGCTGCAAAATACATGTAATTTGTTATGGAAAATCCCTGGTGTCACTAAACAGAGCAGGAAAATCAAGTAAAAATAATTACTTCACAAATGCAAATGCAAGCTATAGTAGGTAAGAAAACAAAATAAGGCATTAATTACCTGGATGGTGCTGTAATATAATATGCAATACCACCCACAGGGACAAATTGGCCACCAGAGTATTCAGATTCCTTCCATATACCCAAGAGATTCACAAGAAAGTTTCCACTGTATTTCCTGTACAGCAACTGCAAGGACACATGTTACCAGACTGATTAAATGAAAATCAGAAGACTTTAACTTTAAGCTGTGCGTATGAACATTTTCCTCCAATACCTGGGAGATGAAGTACAGGTTGGAAACAAGTGCAGACTGCAAAATGATGGGCATGTTTGAGGTGTAGAACAATTTGATTGGATATGAACCCTGTTGGCCTCGGGCATTCTTTGACCTCACAGGCAAAACAACACGGAATCCTTGGAAGTAGATCACAATTAAGAAGATCAAGACAGTGGCAAGTAGGTTTGTCACATTTGGAAGATTCTGCCGGTAAAATGCTTCACGAAGAGCACGAACCTTGTCCGTTCGAGTTATCAAGAGATGGAATAAGGCTATAACAGCACCTTCAAATTCAGCTCCTCTTCCACTGTTAATGGTGGTGGGACTAAATGCTTTCCAGATGATGTTTTCACTGCAAGAAATGATAAAACCAACATAAGTACACAAACTTCATTTATACAATCTACCAAAATAGAATCCACAAGACACACACTTAAGACAAATATTAACATCTACCAGACAAACTAGAATTCTTAAGACCTAAATCTAGAACTAAAATTTCCATTATGCAGTTCAATAAAAGGGCTTAAAGCTCACCAGATGTTGGTTGCAATGAAAAGGGAGATTCCAGAGCCCAGACCATATCCTTTCTGGAGGAGTTCATCCAAACAGATCACAATGATACCAGCAAAGCAGAGCTGAATGATAATAAGAATGGCGTTTCCCACTCCAAGTTGGCCAACGCTACCATACATCCCAGAGAGAACATAAGCAACTGCTTCACCAATTGCTATCAAGATGCCCAACAACTTCTGTGCACCATTTCTGAATGGAAGAAAAAAGTCATTATAGGGAATAAATACACCACAAGCTACACCAACAATGTGACAAGTGCAAAGTATAGCCAAATAAGTTTTCAAGTATGCATTAAGGACAGCCTGCAATATAACTGATCAAATCCAACAGTAAATAATTAAAAATCCGATTTTGAAGCTAAAAAGAGCTGACGTAAACAAAACTGCTATAAGAATCTCACTGGACCAGTTTAAAAGAAGTAATGAATGCATTCAACATGAAAAACAGAAACGGCTAGTTGAAATAGCAATGACCAACTGATCTGCTAATGCAAACAAAATAATAAATAACTAATACTAAGAAAAAGAACCAATTTTATATAACTTAGGCTAAAGAATACATACAGGAGGGCACGGTCTTCGCGTACATTATTGTCAACTTCAATTATCTTTGACCCAGCAAGAAGTTGCATCACGAGTCCAGATGTCACAATTGGGGTGATTCCAAGCTCCATGACGGTTCCACGGTTTGAAGCAAGGATAACACGCATCCAATAGAATGGATCTGCCCCAGTTGTTGAGTGTATGCCATACAGCGGAAGCTGACTGCATACCAAGAAAATAAAAAGAGAGATCACAGTGTATATCACCTTCTCTCTGAATGGAACTTTCCTGTCAGCACTCTGAACTTCAGGGAGGAAAGAAAGGAAAGGCCTGACAAGATGGAGCACTCTAAAACCACCTCCCATCTTATTTGGTCCAAACCAGACCAGCACTACCTGCATCACCATTTGTAAAGGGCACATAAATTAATTAATGTATTAAACCCAACATTATCAACTTACAACTCACATGCTTAACTAGAAAACAACCATGATAACATTTGAATCAAACATTGCATCGAAACAATGAATTATTTAAAATCACACATAGAACGACTAAAACCATAAGGCATAGGCCTTTTTAACTGGTATGATTCTTAACCTTAACACCAAAAATCCTCACTCATTATTTTAAAATCAAAAAATTACCCTCCTTCACATGAATCTTAAAAACCACATTCAGGGAGATCAAAATTTAAAGGAAATATACCTCTGCTCACGAATACAAAATATGCATATCAATAAGACCTAAAATTTCTTTAAAATAATAAAAATTCATCCCAGTTGCTAACATCTTATACGGGTTTTCCATGTTTAACGATTAGAAATCCACATTCTTGTAGAAGAAAAAAATGTCCAGTGCAACCCTCCAATGAAATGTTTGGCATCGTTTCTAATCTTTGCATTAAAGGCAAAGCAAATTCAAGTCGATAGCTACAAATGTGCCTCCAATGTCGCATGCTAATAAACTAAAATGCACCTATCTCCAGATCCCAATTATATAATCACTAGTAAGCTCGAACTTAAGCAATTCCGGATATTTGTTAATCAATTACTCGTATCTGAATAACATCAAAAAAATATATATATTCTCACTATACGATAGCCACTAGTCACGCAAATGATAATACCGTTACATACATACATAAAGCAACAGATCTGACACTAATACAATCAGATAATTCAAAAACACTCTGTTTGCAAGCCGATAAAGAAACTGCAAAATCTCAGTCTCCATTTCATCTCAGATCTAGAAAACGAAACAATTATGGCTCGAAAATCATAGAAAACAATTAACAAAATCAAAAAATTGCCATTCGAAAACACAGATTCGTGAACAAACTAGAATCATGGATTACAGTAAATCGAAATTGAGGAACGAACCGTACGAATTGGTAGATCGAGGAACCGGAGAGTGTCGAGAGCGATCTGAAAGAAACAAATAAAGGAAGCTTGTGTGCTTGGTTTTAAATGGGGGTGAATACGTGGCCTTGACACGATGGTGACTCCAATGAAACATTGACACGCGTCAAAGAAATTTGACGTGGTTAATTAAAGGGTCAGACGGCCGCTTTGACCTATTTGGTAATTTGAACTTGGATGCTTTTATTTGGATCGATGGGCTGGGCCAATATCAGGAATTTTGGATTGAGATGTAAACTAGGATTTTTCTTTTTCTGTTTTAAATATTGCACGAATTAAAAGGCCTTTATTTAGTTGCACCACTAGTTTGTGATTACTGTAACTTTAAGTTTAATCAGTTTTTCTTAATATTAGAAATAATCAGTTTTGAAAATAATTTTAAAGGTGTTTGGTAAATGTTACTTTTATAATTGCTGTAATTTTCAAAATCTGTGATTCTGTGTTTGGTAAGTTAGATTTTGAAATTTTTTATTATATATATATGACAAAAAATACATTTTATTTGTTGAAATATTTTTATAATTTTAAATTTGTATTTTAAGTATTTGATAAAAATTAAAATGATATATTGAAATGATTTATACTAATCAATTATAAAATTTATAATTTCAAAAATGTTGTTGGCTGACCAACTGTTAGTCGACGGTGAACAACCACCAATCAACCCAGCGGTTAACGCCCAAAAAAACCAAAATCTGGTTGGATCACCTGATTCCGACGGCTATTTTTGCCGCAAAAGACATCGAAATATTCAACCACCTTTTATGGCAAAAATTGATGCGAAATTCGATAATTTGATCGAATTCTAACAAATCATAAGATTTTGATCTTAAGAGGATTAGAGGTGGCACCAACACACCACCTTTGACTAACGTTAACTGACAGTTGATTGTCGGTTGACCATTGCTAGTGGTCCTATTTCATTTAAAAATATATATATAAATAAACTATGAAATTATTTATTTAATAAATTAAATGTTTATTTAAGTTATTTTTGGAATTTGAGGAATAACATANGTTTAATGTATATTATCTAACTATTTTTCTATGTTTATTTTAACATTTAAAACTTAACAGTAATGGTAGTTTGTTATTTCAAAAACCTCTGAAATAATCTTGTTATTTAATCAAACTTCAAGAGAATTATTGTTATTAACTTTATGTTTCCGCGTTAATGTCTCTAATATAATTTCACTTATGGTTATAAATATTTGTATAATAAATAAAGAGTACATTTATTATTAATCATGAGTTTAAACTTTATGAAAGTGTAAAAAAAAAAAAAAAAAATCAAAATAAAAAGTGAATAATTGTCTTGAGAAACCGAAAAAGAAGACAAAGCCATGAATATTGGAAGATATGATTGAAATGGGTTAATCAAGAAACATGATAACATGTTCCAAATTTCTAATAGATTTTATGTCTTAGTCATACTTTTAAAATGTTAAGTGGTGTTTAATTAAGATTAAGACATAATATAAATAAATCTCTCTGAAAATCTATTTTTTATATGTGTAATTAAGATTGTGTTTTTAAATTTAGAAAGAAACAAACCAACCTTTCAATTCAATCGGGGGCCCTAGAAATTTAATCAAAAATTTAACCCAAATTTCAAATAATTCCATTTAAGGATCTATCTAAAAATATTTGATGTTAGTATTTAATGTCATATATATATATGTTAATTATTTTATAATCCTTCAATTCAATGAGGGCCTTGGAAATTTAAGCCAAATATGTTTATTTACAAAATTTTAACTGAACACAAATTAAATCACTTTAGGGTGTATCTAATTTTTTTTTTCTTTATAAAATATATTTACTAAATTTTCATAAGCGAAATATGTTATTAATTTATTGTCATTTTCTCTCACACTCAATCAAAATCCCAGGATATTGAAATAATCCATTGAAAATGACATGAAAACCAATGAAAGAAATACAAGATCTAGATTTAGGCAAGTCTTTGTCCCTAATGTTTAAATTTTATTTTTCTAATTTGATAATATAAAGTATTAATATGTTTTATGAGAATATTTGATTAAGCAAGATATGCCTCCTAAGTCAAAGATATACAGCATAAAGTTTCCAATTTAGTGGCTTTGAATATTCTTCTGGCTTGCTTGGCATATTTTAATTAGTCATAAAAAAAGAAAGAAAAAAAGGAAAAGTATAAATTCACCAACTAAAATATTTGAATATCAACAAGTATTTATATTACTTAAAATAAGATAATAAATAGAAATCTAAGTTCTCCAATTTATAAAATGAATAATGCTGATGATTTAAATAATACTAGTTGAATATCAATTAGAAGATGAGAAGAAGGATTGTTTTATATAATAGTAATTCAATATATATATATATAAGATGAAGAAGTTTATCTACCATTAAGTTGATGGTGTTTGTCTAATGTTATAAAGATGTAGCATGGAAAGAAAGCCTCCAATTCACGCCTTGTTCCCCCTCAGCTCATTAAATAATATTTTCAAAGGCAGAATACACTCTATATATAATTATATATACTTTTTTTTTTTTAACAATCGAGTCAGTCTTACGCACCTCAATTAATTCTTAGGACCTTGATATATCTATTGGATAAGAGTCCTAATCGACACCTTATTAGGGTAGTCCTAATCGATCACCTTTATTAGGGTGCGTACCTCGATTAATCTTTTAAGAGCTTGATTTATTCTAGGATAAGAGTCCTAATCGTCACCTTTATTAGGGTCTAAGGTAACTAAAACTCAGGAATTCATAAACTCTTTTTGCTTTTACATGACCACCCAATGATGGTTAAACATTCTAAATATTTCTCATATTTGTCACCTCTTATTGGATTTGTGTATTCAATCAAAACTCATAAAATAATCTGAAAAAAGAAAAGGTACTAATCATGAGGGACTCCAACTTTTACAGTTTTTTTTTTTTTTTTTTTTTTAATTGTAAAATATTTAAGGATTATCAGCCATCTCCACTTGGGTTAAGAAAAAGACAGTGTACAGCTACATATGAGAAACAAATATAATGTAAGCATTACGGATTGGATGCTTGCCAACTACTTGAAAAACTAAAGTAAAAATGATGTTGTTTACATGTCGTTGTAGACGTAAAACCCAACTCATGTTTATCCAATATAAATATTACATTAAGTTTATGTTGTTTAATGGGGAAGAGTTTGGGTGTATTACCAACACCATAAGACTCTCCACCAATTGACCTTTCGTTTCCTTAGATGATTTGCCCGATTCTGTTACATGTCACTTAAATATTGTTGAAGGCATATAAGAATAATAGGAAGAAAATGCTGATAAATTCATAAAAACTCAATACTATTTGAACACAATATAAACATGTATCTAACTCCTGGATGATCGAGTGGTTAAGCTTTGAATGTTTATTATTAAAGGTCTTGATTCAAGATCTTTAGCGTTGTTAATAGGGTGATCACTGAAGCTATTACCCGACCGTAATTTTAGGGTCTCGAGGATAACTGAGATGCGTATAGCTGACCTAGCATCAACGGTCATTAAAATTGAGAACAAATAGTGCATATCTTTCAATTCATTATCAAAAGTGCATAAATCCGACAATATCACGAGTGTTTTGTTAAAGAACTGGATATTCTAATTAGATTTGAGTCAGTTTTTGCCATATTCTTAATCTTTTGTCTTATAAAGACTTTTAGAGATCTTTAAGTCAACTTGTCACAATCCCTGCTCCTGAAAGGCTATCCGACCATGTTAGCTATCTGAGAAGATGAAGATGAAGGCAGAGAATTTGGAAAGCAAAATGTGTACATGTATGAGGTGAATAATTTACTAAACACTGCATAAGCATTGTTGGGATATAATGAGGTCAACTCTGTAAGCAACTTTTCAGTGTCTTTTGAGGCCATTTGTTGAAGTTGAAGACAACATGGCCCTGCCTCCTCAACTATTAAAATAAACTTCCAACTGTGAATCAATTACCAGCTTTTTCTTTCTTTCAATGGCAGTTTTGTGTGTGTGCCCACGAATGTCCCATCAATACCAGGGCCTCTATGGTATGAAGTATGAAATATTATCAAATCTGCCATGCCTTTTCATATCCCTTCTTTACAAATTCTCTAAATTCTAATTATAAACCACACAACAGTTATAATTACAAATCTTGTCATATAGACGACTTTAAAGGAATGAAACACATAAGGCTCTTGATTCAAACCAAAGGTCGCACTTTCACTCATAATCATAAATAATTTCAATGAATAGAACTTGGATCCGCTTTGTTTTGTTTGCTGGATCATGAGCCAGAACCAGAAATTGACCTAAATGCATTATCAATCCATGGTGTTTAAATAAAATATACACGACCTGGCAGCAAGTTGATTTCTTTTCATCAATGTCAGGTTGGTTTGCATTATTCACACCAACTTATGAATCATCATAGGTACAAAGATGAAGATTTTCAAGTCGCTAAGATGCCTAAACTAGAGGAGATCAGGATGGTTAAAGGTTTGAAGTTGATAAAAAACGGAAGTAAAAACTCTGATCTGTTTCCTTGAATGTTTTGCGAATTTCACCAGTATGTTCTAAAGATGAAAGATTCCCAGGATCTAGAGTTCACTCTAGTAGATCCAATGATACAGAATGAAGGAAGAGTCAGAAGGAAAAAACAAAACAAGCATTACATTTTCAGGTGATGCATGCAGATTTTGAATTCCTCGTCAACTACGCTAAATTCTATCTTGAACCTTTGGTGTTAGAAGGGCCTACATACTCTCTTAGCTCTCCAAAAATTGCTGGGGAGTCTCGTGGGCACCACCTCTGTTGCTCATAACACATCGTAACCTTAAATCCAAAGAAGCGAGCTCGCTGGCTCTTTCCTTCTCGAAGTCTCAGAATACTGATAAATGATGGTGAATGCAAGTAGAATCCCAGTCCCTGAACCGATGCCCCATGAAATCTGCACACACGGTCAGTGCTCCAATACACATGCCGCCAAATGTGCAGCTGTGGGGATGTAGCGATCAGCCTTTCTGTA